ATTTTCAATCTCATAACGAACATTAAAAAGCTGATTTAATTGTAGAATGAACAAAAATGCACCAAATGTTTGTATTCAATAAGGTATGAATATAGAATTAGCCGAGAGTTAATTTTATTTCTCTCATTCTATTATGAACTCAGATTTTTTAATCAAAAATACATTTTTTGTTTTTTTTTTTGCTTATCCCTAGTACACGTGGTACAGGCCATGATAATCATTGTGGGTAGAAGTTGGCGACTGCTTTTACTGTAAGTGCACCACATATCTACACATGTGAAAAGCAGTTCGACTTTACACTTACAAATGTGCCAGAGCCCTGTTTGGTTACTTGCACTCGCTGGTGGGGGTTAGACTACAAATTTATTGATTTTAATCAATGATAAATTTTATATTCGTGTTTTTCTTATTACTTAGCAAATAATATTATTACAGCGAATCACATATAATAAAGCGTCTGTTCGTTGAAGCCGAATAGGATTGGTCCATTCTGTGTGACGTGTTCAAACCTGATTGGCTTGGCCGCCCCCCCCCCCCCACTTAAGTGACGTGGCCGGCTGAGATGGTACTGACCACGGGATGAGATGGGACTGACCACGGGTTGAGATGGGACTGAGCACGGGTTGAGATGGGACTGAGCACGAGATGAGATGGGACTGAGCACGGGATGAGATGGGACTGAGCACGGGATGAGATGGGAATGATCACGGGATGAGATGGGAATGATCACGGGATGAGATGGGAATGAGCACGGGATGAGATAGGACTGAGCACGGGATGAGATGGGACTGAGCACGGGATGAGATGGGACTGAACACAGGATGAGATGGGACTGAGCACGGGATGAGATGGGACTGAGCACGGGATGAGATGGGACTGACAGCGGGATGAGATGGGACTGACCACGGGATGAGATGGGACTGAGCACGGAATGAGATGGGACTGACCACGGGTTGAGATGGGGCTGAGCACGGGATGAGATGGGACTGAGCACGGGATGAGATGGGACTGAGCACGGGATGAGATGGGAATGATCACGGGATGAGATGGGAATGATCACGGGATGAGATAGGACTGAACACGGGATGAGATGGGACTGAGCACGGGATGAGATAGGACTGAGCACGGGATGAGATGGGACTGAGCACGGGATGAGATGGGACTGAACACGGGATGAGATGGGACTGAGCACGGGATGAGATGGGACTGACAGCGGGATGAGATGGGACTGACCACGGGATGAGATGGGACTGAGCACGGAATGAGATGGGACTGAGCACGGGATGAGATGGGACTGAGCACGGGATGAGATGAAACTGACCACGGGATGAGATGGGACTGAGCACGGGATGAGATGAAACTGACCACGGGATGAGATGGGACTGAGCACGGGATGAGATGGGAATGATCACGGGATGAGATGGGAATGATCACGGGATGAGATGGGACTGAGCACGGGATGAGATGGGACTGAGCACGGGATGAGATGGGACTGACAGCGGGATGAGATGGGACTGAGCACGGGATGAGATGGGACTAGGCACGGGATGAGATGGGACTGAGCAAGGGATGAGATGGGACTGAGCACGGGATGAGATGGGACTGACAGCGGGATGAGATGGGACTGAGCACGGGATGAGATGGGGCTGAGCACGGGATGGGATGGGACTGAGCACGGGATGAGATGGTACTGACCACGGGTTGAGATGGGACTGAGCACGGGATGAGATGGGACTGAGCACGGGATGAGATGGGACTGAGCACGGGATGAGATGGGAATGATCACGGGATGAGATGGGAATGATCAAGGGATGAGATGGGACTGAACACGGGATGAGATGGGACTGAGCACGGGATGAGATGGGACTGAGCACGGGATGAGATGGGACTGAGCACGGGATGAGATGGGAATGATCACGGGATGAGATGGGAATGATCACGGGATGAGATGGGACTGAACACGGGATGAGATGGGACTGAGCACGGGATGAGATGGGACTGACAGCGGGATGAGATGGGGCTGAGCACGGGATGGGATGGGACTGAGCACGGGATGAGATGGTACTGACCACGGGTTGATATGGGACTGAGCACGGGATGAGATGGGACTGAGCACGGGATGAGATGGGACTGAGCACGGGATGAGATGGGAATGATCACGGGATGAGATGGGAATGATCACGGGATGAGATGGGACTGAACACGGGATGAGATGGGACTGGGCACGGGATAAGATGGGACTGAGCACGGGATGAGATGGGACTGAGCACGGGATGAGATGGGACTGATCACGGGATGAGATGGGAATGATCACGGGATGAGATGGGACTGAACACGGGATGAGATGGGACTGAGCACGGGATGAGATGGGACTGACAGCGGGATGAGATGGGACTGACCACGGGATGAGATGGGACTGAGCACGGGATGAGATGGGACTGAGCAAGGGATGAGATGGGACTGACCACGGGATGAGATGAAACTGACCACGGGATGAGATGAAACTGACCACGGGATGAGATGGGACTGAGCACGGGATGAGATGAAACTGACCACGGGATGAGATGGGACTGAGCACGGGATGAGATGGGAATGATCACGGGATGAGATGGGAATGATCACGGGATGAGATGGGACTGAGCACGGGATGAGATGGGACTGAGCACGGGATGAGATGGGAATGATCACGGGATGAGATGGGAATGATCACGGGATGGGATGGGACTGAACACGGGATGAGATGGGACTGAGCACGGGATGAGATGGGACTGAGCACGGGATGGGATGGGACTGAGCACGGGATGAGATGGGACTGAGCACGAGATGAGATGGGAATGATCACAGGATGAGATGGGAATGATCACGGGATGAGATGGGACTGAGCACGGGATGAGATGGGACTGAGCACGGGATGAGATGGGACTGAGCACGGGATGAGATGGGACTGACAGCGGGATGAGATGGGACTGACCACGGGATGAGATGGGACTGAGCACGGAATGGGATGGGACTGAGCACGGGATGAGATGGGACTGAGCACGGGATGAGATGAAACTGACCACGGGATGAGATGGGACTGACAGCGGGATGAGATGGGACTGAGCACGGGATGAGATGGGACTGAGCAAGGGATGAGGTGGGACTGAGCACGGGATGAGATGGGACTGACAGCGGGATGAGATGGGACTGAGCACGGGATGAGATGGGAATGATCACGGGATGAGATGGGACTGAACACGGGATGAGATGGGACTGACCACGGGATGAGATGGGACTGACCACGGGATGAGATGGGACTGGTAGCGGGATGAGATGGGACTGACCACGGGATGAGATGGGACTGAGCACGGGATGAGATGGGACTGAGCACGGGATGAAATGGGACTGACTATGTGATGAGATGGGACTGAGCACGGGATAATAAAGATTCTGTTCGTTGAGGCCGAATAGGATTGGTCCATTCTGTGTGACGTGGCGTGTGACGTGACGTCGGCAATTTATTCGGTGAATATTTGAGAAATAATATATTTTAAATTATTTTATTTTTTAATTTAGCTTGATTATTTTATTTTTATAAACAATGTATCCTAAAAGAGCCCTTTCTATTGTTGAGGCCATCGAAGCAAAGCAACGTCGTATTGAACAGCAGCGACAAAGACGTTTAAATTCACCCGTAAGAGAACGGCATAATGTACAACAACGGCAATACCGAATGAATATGAGCGAAAATCAAAGAGCCCTTCAAAGGGAAAACAGTAGGCTGAGGATGCAAAGAATTCGACAGGGAGATAATCTACCTTTGCCAACAGGAACATGTTTCGAGAAAGATCAAATTCCCCTGCACTTTTGTGGCCAACTTGATCAAGTTTGCCCAAAATGTAGAGCAAAGTATTTCGAATTGGTACAAACGACATACAGTAAAACTTTTCATAAATGCTGTTCCAAAGGAAAAGTCGAACTTGAACCGATTCAAACCTCTCAATCCACCTGCTCTAGCCGATCCCGTCCTTGGACGGGCTTTTCTACTAGTATACAATAATACAATTACTTTAACATAATACAAAGAATAATGACGAGGGCCAACAGCCTGAAACGCGTTCGTGGTTGACTTTTCTTGATTTATTAAGAAATTGGGTTGGCCAAATATCTTGGAGCAAGCTAAATAAACGTTTAGTTTATTTTTGCTCCACTAGATGGCCCTCTGCCATCTAAAAAAAGCTCATATGAGCCTGGTCAGGATATGTCACTTTTGTTTATAATACAAAGACATTATACATAATAGTCACGACCGTCTTTCCTCAATTCCTCATCGGCCGCTGTCACGGATGCGCGCGCACAGGGAGGTCACGTGCTCGCCGACAGCCAACGGGCGCGCGCCGCCGGCATTACGTCATAGATTATAAACACAAGGTAATAAGGCCAAATAAATTATACATAACGGCGAATAATATTGGTATTTGAATTTTTTACAAGTGTTTACGAACTTTTGGAACAAACTTGTAGTTAAGAGATATATAATATGGGGAACATACAATACACACGACTATGTACAATTATCTATAGAAAACTCCAAAAAACAGACTCTCCAACTAAACAGAAGGAAGTCGACACAGTTGGCCAGATGGAAATCTGATCACCTGCGCCCTCTAGTCTATAAAGAGGGAGCCAAAAGTTTTCCCATGTGCACTAGGTGCAAAACCGAAGAGGCCACTCCCCAACATATACTAAATTGTATTGGAAAGGGAAAAGGATCCCTGTACAGAGAACCAAGAAGAGTTCTTGAAGTTCTTTTTGAGCACGACCTCCAAGATCTTGTCTAATTTAGACTAATAAAAGGATAAGGAAAATATATATATAGTCAAGGAGATTTCTCTAACACCGAAGAGTCTTCCTCCAGGTTATCAGAGGGTCTTCGTTATCTTCCCTTACCTCAAGTCTCAGAAAGAACTTATAGATGAACGCTGTCTTTATTAACGGTAGAAACTCAAGATAGAAAAGGAGGTCGATTGTCGAGTGGTCTAAACTGTTTACTTTCAATCACTACAACCCGGGTTCGAATCCCGCATTGGACACTTTTTTCTAATTGAAAAAAATATAATTCTCCAATTGCCCTCGATTCTTGAAAAAGTCCAACATTCACCAGCGAGTGCAAGTAACCAAACAGTGGGACTCTGACAAACTTATAAATGCAAAAAGTCGAACTGATTTTTCACCTGTGTAGATATATGTTTAACTTTCGGTAAAAGCAGTCATCAACTACTTATCATGATTATCATGACCTGTACTACGTATACTAGAGACAATAATAAAAAGATAGAGATGCACGGCACTACTGGAAAGCATAGACGAATCTGTTCAAGTAATGATTGAGAGAGCAAGATTCGGAAATATACCCCACAGAAATGGTAGGAGAAAAAATACAATTCTAAGTTACAGTAACGGCTTGGCACTTTGATAAAGGGCAAAGTAATAATAACTTTATTTTTCAAAAAAGGTTACAAGTTTTTCTTAAAAAAAATTGTAACGAATGGTCAAGTATATTTACATATTCTCATTTACAACATCGGAATTATAACAGTAAAAGTAAACAAAGATATTTACAAATAAAATGAAAGGATTTAAAAGCACGAATGTTTCTTTTATACATAATACAAACTTCTACTGTCCTTACTGCGATGAAAAAATATATTGGGAGGGCTTGGCTCATCAGTGGTGAACCCTCCCAGCGGTTTCGCCAATTTAATCCACCAGACCGCTTCTAAGAGCTCTAATACTGTATTGGACGATTCTGCTTATATACGCAGCACTAAAAAATGGAATTTCAGAAATGGTTTTCAAGAAAACTATGGACATTAGGCTTATAGGACAGTAGATTTACATTCAAATATGTATTCGTGCTTTTAAAACCTTTCATTTTATATGTATAGATGGCGCGTTATTGCTTTGTATTAAAGATATTTACATTTGTTATCTTGACTCCTGGTCAGTGCTGTGGCCCTCGGAGATGTGGTCCCCTGATGTCCTGCAGCTCTCCAGCTATCTTTCTATGACTGGTGGCTCCTTGGTCCCCTGGCCTTGATCCATTCTTGTCTGTCAGGTTATCTGCTCTAGGTCGTTCTCCTGGATCTCTTCTCACATCGTTCAACATCGTTCCAGCAATCGATCCATGGCTTCCATTTCTTCATTATTCTAAAATAATAATAATAAAATAAAGTGAATAAATTATGTTCCATCAAGGAGGTTCTCCCAAACGATGAAAATACTTCTTTCAAGCAATCAAAAGATCCTTACGAATGCCTCCAATCAGGAAGAACCTATAAATTCTTGACTGAAGATAGCGATGTCAAAGTAATGAAGGCCAGAATGCTCAAGTGAAGAGAGGTACTGAAGACGAAGAAGAATTTAGAGGAAAAGAGGAATCCAGAATCAGGCAAATCAAAAGATCCTCACGAATGCCCCCAATTTCCATAGTCAGGAAGAACCTATAAATTCTCGACCGAAGTTGGCAATGTCAAAGTCATGAAAAAGGCCAGAATGCTCAAGTGAAGAGAGATACTGAAGACAAAGAAAAAATTAGAGGAAGAGAGGAATCCAGAATCAGGCAAACAGTAGAAGGCTGGGACCATGGCGTGACAAGAGATCATCAATACCATCCTAACCCTAACGACAGGATCGCCGTGCTTCTTGATGGCATTAGTCCATCTCTCTTGATGGATGGTGTCATTGCTACGGTCATTTTAACTGGCTCCAACCTCTTTGATAGTCTTCTCTTACAATGAGCAAATACTCTCTTAACAGTTGTTCTTCTTTACCTGATGTATGTAGAAGTGTTTTGAAAATAGAGCAATCCATAAATAAATCTTTAATTAAAAAGCCATATATTGGATCAAAATATCATTTATTTCACCAATATTTCAGTTGGCTGAACGCCAACCTTTATCAAGGTATTATAACATATTAATGTGTGTCAAAAACACATTATTGTTGAAATATATATTTTCTGATTTCCCGTTTATAAAGCTTTTTCAGAATATAGTGCACTCTTGGTCAAATCCCTAGAAAAGTATTTTAAATAAATTTTTAATTTTATCGTTAAAGTGACCATATAGTTTTTGCTACAGTCTACTCTCGTTATAACGCCACCATCCGGATTTTGCAAAAAAGCGGCGTAAGGCGAGGGTGGCGTTGTATCGAACACGTTTAAAATGTGAAATTTAAAGATACAATAAATTATTTATAACAATTACTAATGACAATTTATACTCTAAGTCAATATATAGAATGCAAAACTGGCATTAATTAATTAATATGACAAATAGAAAGAATTAATTTATAATTTATTCATAAAAAAGTAATCACATTTTCTTGAAGAAGTCTGTGATCACAACTTGTCTTTTCTCTCCCTCACTTATGGCATAGACACGGCGTAACAAATCCGCAGATAGATTGACAGATGTTGCTCTCTTGGAGTGCTCAAGAAACAACAAAACTGTCTCAGTTCTGGCTTCCCTTAACGATGGTAGGCGCTGTTGTATCATCATCCTCGCCAAGTTCTTCTTTCGCTGTAACAGTGGACACTAGCAAATTGTCATCTGTTAGCTTCATTTCCGCCTCCTGGGAATCATCAACCAGTTGAAACTCCCTTTCAGTCATCAAATTATCTGGTGTAATAGCGAAGATGTCGCGATCGAGCAGATTTCCATAATTAAGAGGCTCAACTGCAGCAGTAGAAGTGAAGCGAATGCCTGTGTGATTCCAGCAGTTGCCCAACAGAATCCCAAGCCTTTTTACAATAGCGTACAGCGTCATCCAGACGTAATTCTGTGGGTAGATGGGCATCCGCCAATTCCACCATTTTCTGGAGTTGAAGCTTGCGATATTGAGCCTTGAAACTTTTGATGATGCCACTATCCAGTGACTGGCAGTCATATTTGGTGGAAGGAAGTGTATCTTTATGTTGCTGAGACCATCATTAGGGACGCAGTGAGACGTTATCTAACAACAGTAGGATTCCTTCAGAGACAAGCTGCTTGTTGAACTGCAGTAGCCATTCTTGAAAGATGCTAGAGGTCATCCATGCTTTGCTGTTAGATGTGTAAGTGCAGTAGAGGTGTGGACTAAAGTTTCTGAAGCATCGAGGCTTTGCCGATTTTCCAATAATCAGCAATCTCCGCTTGTCTGTTCCAGTAGAGTTGCAGCACAGTAGAACAGTGATTCGTTGCTTCATCCTTTTGACACCACGGCAGTTTTCATCTTTGTGTTCGGTCAGGAATGAGCTGAAAACCTGTTTCGTCTGCATTGTATATGTTGGCTGGGTCATATCGCCAGAATACTGTTCAAATTTGTAAGGTGTTCATCAATGATAGCTGGAGAAATCGATGCGCCTTCCCCACAAAGCCGTTGTTGCGAAATATGGAATCTTCCTTTAAATCGCTGCAGCCACCCACTGTTGTACGCGAAATTTTCTGGTACGGCCAACTGCCCCCCAAGTTTTTTGCCTTTTCTCTTAGGAGGTCATCAGTAATAATAATATTATTGGCACGCTTTTGGGTAAACCAGTTGAAGAGAACGTCTTCCAAGTCACTAAATATTCCGACTCTTTGAAGAACCAACAGTATAATTTTCCCACTTCTCAGCCTGAGTGAGAATATCACGGGCAGTTATTCGTGGAAGTGAGAAACGCTCTCCAATCTCATTCTTCGACATCGTAGGATTATTTCTTGCCAACTGGCATATATCCTTCTTCTTTTCAATGGTGATCGACTCACGTTTACGCTTTTGGGAACTCATGATACGACAATAAAGTTGTTGTGTTGACGTTAGCAAAGGATGAAGCGACTGTGTATGTCCCAGGCACAAGCAGGAAAAGGGTCTGTTGGCTGTTCACACAATCTGTTATCTGTTGTGCCAACAGCAAACAAAGTCCGGTGCCGCTGGCGGAAAATATGCAGACAGGAAAAGGGGAGCGGGGGGTGAGGGACGTTGTGAGCGGCGCTATAACGAGTGGTTTTTGCTACTTGGGATACGAAAAATCAGCGGCGGAAGGTGAACAGCGAGGGAGTGGCGTTATATCGAGAAAAATACATTGATGTCGATTGGGACAAAACGAAAAAGCGGCGTAAGGCGAGGGTGGCGTTATATCGAGTGGCGTTATAACGAGAGTAGACTGTATATACTTATTAGAAATTATTCACACACATATACAGCTTTATTAAGACCACCGGTCTTATACAGATCCACCACAGGAAGGAAGCATAGATATAGCTCCTGTACTCCAGGCAGCACAGAACCCAACAACAGCCTCCAGGTCCGACACATGTCCAGTGGCCACACCGTACATACGTCAAGGTTAAAAGACGAGTGTGGAATCAGCCACGTTCTAGTCTTCACTTTCCTCATCCAAATGGACCACGACATTCGGTGATTCTATTAATCTCCTCCGAACACAGTGCGGCTTTGTAGAATTTATATAAACCAAAGAGAAGACCTTGATCAAACATCATTGTACAGTAGAACCTCCCTTTAGCGGACACCTCTATAAAAAAGGACAGTTTTAATTTACAAAATTACCATTTTGTTCGCTTTCTAGTCTTCACTTTCCTCATCCAAATGAACCACGACATTCAGTAATAATTTGAAAATATTAAAGAACAACAAAAAATTAAGTAGAAAAATATAGAAAAAAAACTTATACGTCTCATAGTATATTTATAACTCTCGGCATAGTGACTTTCGTAAAAAAAAAATCCTAACGAAAGAAAGATTAAAAAAAAAAGGTTTCACAGTGTTTTACCGTTCTTTCAATTCAATCTTTTGGCAGAAAAATATCTTAGGAAAATTTAAAGCTATTAATCAATCAGAGAGAAATCTGTTTTTGACGTTACACCAAGTAATGTATTACACACACTTGATTATTCTCTGGAGAGTTAGCCCCCTTTTTGGAGGAGCGCTCAAGTAGCATTTACTTTCCCTCTATGATTATTATTATTTCATAATTTTTTTTATTGTTATAAATATGTTAATAGATTTATTTATCTTTGGTAGAGATTTAAAGTACACTACGTTTATACAT